TTGGTCATCGGGATGAATAGGAATTCGGAAAAATCCCGAGTAACCATCAAGGAAACAATAGTACTTGTGCCTTGTTAGTCTTTTAAGAATTTGATCAATGAAAGGAAGGGGGAAGTGATCTTTCGTAGTGGATGTGTTTAGACGTTTATAGTATATACACATCAACCAACTGGTGACCGTACTTTATGGAATAAGCTCACCTTTTTCATTCATGACGACGGTCATGTCTCCCTTCCTTGGAACGACATGAACGGGTGAGACCCATCTAAACCTTGAGATGAAGAATATGATTCCCGCATCTAAAAGCTTAGTAATCTCTTTCTTCACTACCTCCCCTATTTGGGGATGTAAATTCCATTGTCGTTCAATAGAAGGAAGGGCACCCTCCTAAATGGTTATGTGGTGCATACATATAGCGGGGCTTATACCTTTGAGGTCATCAATGGTATAACCCAAAGCACCTTGGTGCTTTCTTAAAACATCTCATAACGCTTGAGCTTGGCTTTTAATCAAAGATGTACTAACAATCACGGGGTAAGTAGAATTTAGGCCTAAGAATTCATACCTTAGGTGTGATGGTAAAGGTTTGAGCTCTTCCATAGGAACACCTTTACCTTCCTTGATCGAAGCCGCTTGCAAAGCCTCTTGGCTTGAAATTTTCATGCAAATTTGCTCATCACTTCCCTCAGTGCTTCCATCTAACAAGTTCTCATACAAAGCCATGTCTTTGCTAGGAGCACCTATCTTTTCCTTGTTCAACAAAACACACTCAAGAGGACCATTAGTTGGGAGAAAGTGCTCAGGCATTGAGTGTACAAGATTATCTAAGATTTCAACTCTCATGCAATTCTCAAGAGATGAAGAATGAGATTTCATACTTTTATTCAAATCAAATTCAACTCCCTCATCTCCAATTTTAAGTGAAGTCTTAGCACTTTTGACATCAATCAAAGCACCCGAAGTAGCAAGAAATGGTCTACCAAGAATAATAGGAATTGTAGAATCCTCAACTATGTCAAGGACCACAAAATCTACTGGAATGATGAACTTTACTACCCTTAAGGAAACATCTTCTACCTTACCCCTTGGGATCCTAATTGATCTATCGGCTAATTGCAAGGTAATGTTGGTAGGTAAAAGTTCTCCCTTCTCTAGTCTTTGATATACCGAGTATGGCATAATGCTAACACTAGCTCCTAAGTCACACAAGGAATTATCAATTTGCATTTTATAAATAGCACAAGGGATAGAAAAGTTTCCGGGATCCTTCAACTTGGCTGGGATTTTGTTCATTATGATTGTTCTACAATTCTCGGTTAAGTTAATCGTTTCCCTCACATCACATGTTCTTTTTCCACTAAAAATCTCCTTTAGGAACTTTGCATAATTTTGCATTTTTTCTATCACATCGGTAAAAGGAAGAGTAAAATGAAGTTGTCTAAGCATCTCCATAAATTTCCCAAATTTCTTGTCTAACTTGTGCCTATTAAACTTTTTTGGGTAATGGAGCTTAGGTTTGTAAACTTCTCTTTCTCTCTCTTTCACCTTCTCAACTTGTTCCTTATTGACTTCCTCAACTAAAGTATTCTCATCTCCCTTATTCTCAATTTGGCCATTACTAGGACTATCTCTAGCATCATTCTTCTAAGAGATTTCACTCTTAAGGACCCTACCACTTCTAGTCACAATAGAATTAATAGGGCTCTTAAAATCTAAGCTTGGTGAAGTCAAAGAAGAAAGATTTGTGAATTCCTTAAACTCATTAGCCAATTTAGAAATTTGGGTGTCCAACCCCTTATGGCAAGTTAACATGTCATTAAATTTCTCTTTGCTTAGGGTCATGTTGGTGTCCAACAATTTGGCTTGATTATCTATGACACCTTCTAAGAAAAACCTAGTGGAAAACTATTGATCATACAAAATATCATTATGTTCTTTGGTATTTGGAATAAATCCATATGGGGCATCTCTTATAACATTCTATTGGAAATTTCCCCTACTTTGATTGTTCCAATTACCTATACATTGATTTTAACCACTATCGTGATTATGGTTACCATAACCTTGGTTATAATCCCCATATCCTTGGCCATGACATTGACCATTATAACTATGGTTGTTAAAGCTACCACATTTCCTTTGGATTCCATGGTTTCTAAAACCGCCATTTTGGCTATAATTATCATAGTTCATTTGGTTGTGATAATTCCTACTTCCAACATTCCTTTGAGCATTAAATCTAGGTCCAACATTGTTATTAGAAACTAAGTTCACATGTTCATTCTCACTCTCAACATTTTCATTACAAGAAACATTAGAGCAAATAGAAGCATCATGGTCATGCATTCCACACAAATCACAAAACCAACATTCTCTAATCATGCAACAAGAAGAAGAAAGAGAGTTAGAGGAAGAATTACCTTTCCCCTTAATTTAAGAGGAAAGAATTGGAGCTTGTGAGGTCGTTCTCTCGAGCTTATACTTGATAGAAACTACCTCCTCTCCTAAAACCGAAATTTTAGTCGACAAATTATTGATAGCATTGAGTTGTTCCATTGAGCATCCCATTGTACTACTCTTGTTTATCGACTCCTTCTCACCATCTTACCATTCCATGTAGTTTCTAACTACATCCTCAATGATACCTACGACCTCTTCCTCGGTCTTATTCATGATTGGGCCTCCGGCTCCGGCGTCTAGATTTGCACTCCATTGAGGACTCAAACTGCCATAAAAAATTTGAATGATTAGGTAAGTGGGGATCCCATGGTGAGGACACTCACGTTGGTACTCTTTGTATCTTTCCCATGCCTGATAAAGACTTTTACTAGACTTTTTCTTGAAACCATGAATCAAAGCTCTTGCCTCCGCCGTTTTCTTTTGAGCGAAAAAACGGGAAGGAATTCCTTGGTGACTTCATCCCAAGTTCTCAAAGAATTATGCTTCACTTCCTTATCTATCCATTCTGAGCACTTCCAATTAGAGAAAAAGGAAATAGCGTAAGGCTTATAAATTCTTGAGCTACCTCACTCACCTTAATTATGTTGCAATATTTCTCGAACTCCTTAAGATGATTTAGGGTGCTCTCATGCACTCCTCCACTATATTGCCGCCTTTCAATCAAAGTTATCATCGTCGACTTGATTTCAAAGTCACTATCCGGGATCAATAATGGAGCAATCCCGCTCTCTTACCAGTATGCACCCGGAGTACCTAATTCCTTCAATGTAACCCTTTGGGCTTCTCCCATTATCACTTGCACACACAATCTCAAATAAAATTATTAATAACACGGCTGAAAATGTAGCCTAAAGAAGAAAATATTTTTTTTTTGTATTTTGCAAATAAGTTGAAATAGACTCATCAACAATAGCAATCATCTACGCCATTCCCCAGCAACGATGCCATTTTTTATCTAGGGCGAGACTAGGTCGTTAAAACTAATCTACCCTCGGTCAAAACACAATTTTTAATCTCTCAACACACCCCTATACAAAGCATAGTTTAAGTCGAGGGTCGAACAACTAGGAATGGTAGGTGAATGCTAATGTCAAAGCTAAGATATTTCAAAGCAATAAGGTGAGGTGTATCTATTCTACCAATCAAATAAATTGAAACGAAAATCAAATTTATCAAGCACTAGGGTATGGATCCACATATACTCGAAATTAATTCAACTAACTAGGATTCGAGATGACTAAGTCAAGTGTTGCGAGGGAAAATCAATTAAGAAATCAAGAGAATATGGTAGGCTAATCTCCTAGAGGTCAAACTAGCACCAACTAGGAGAGACTCTAGCTAGAAAACTTGCAAACCTACTCAATCGACAAATGTAAGCCACAAATAAATTTTCCGTATCAATGTGAACCTACAATGCAATCTAGTATGAAAACTTAGGTTGATCACTCCTAAATTAAACACACACATGCACATAATCAATCAACCAATTTAATCACAACATCAACTCCATCAATTTCCCCCAATTAGCATAAATCAATTACTCATACATGCTTCACCATTTCCCTAGCAAGAAAACTGCTCACTTCATCATTATCAAAACTAAACTAAACAACAACTTCATCATCATCATATTAATAAAAAATATACCAATTTAAAAATCAATCAACTTGAACAATTAACAAAGAAATTGAGATAAAAAACTAAGATTGCATTAAAGTAAAGAAATCCTTAAAAATTTGCTTCAATTCAATGGAGAAACGCACTTGGAATCATCAATCTCTAATCATCAATCAAGAACTTCTCTCTCTACAAATTAGAGTTTCCCTCTCTAAAAATCTAATCTAATTCTCTTCTAATTTCTGAAAAATTGAACTCTCTCTAAAAATAAAAGGAACATAGAAATTAGTTAGATCGTTCCCGAATAAACCTAAATAGGCGCGTCCAACTTTAAGAGAGAGCGTGGCCGCGCAAATCTTGGTACGGAACAGAGACTTGAACAGTCGCGCCCGCGCCCGAGAGAAGCGCGACCATTGCAAACAGGCCGCGCGCCTGCGCTCTGGAACAGGGTAGCCTTCTTCCCTATCATTCCTATGCTCCTTGTGCGTTCCACTTAATGCTCTTTTTAAACGCGGGACCTTGCAGTTTCTAAACTCCATGTTTGCGGGTTCAACACAAGAAGTTAAGGCCCCTACGGCTTGAATACACAACTCAAGGACTTTAGGAACTTGCACTTTTCCCTGCTTGAGCTTCAAATAAAGGGCACTAGACATCCTAATCAATGCCAAACTTGGGGAGAGGCCTCGGAAAACTCGGAACCGACCTTAACATGAAAATAAAGGAAAACAAGGAAATAAAGAGAAATATTAAAATAAACCAAGAAATGCATGAAGAAAGGAATTAAACTAAGAAAATGCAAACTAAAAGAAATAAAGAGTAAAATTAAGGAAAATCTAAGTAAAAGAGCTATAGAATAGCATGAAATTCACCCTAAAAAGAACCAAATGAGTGCCATAAATGACACTCATCAGCTGCTTTTAGCCTTACTTAAGGAGGAAGTCTAGCTCCTTCAGCATGCGCTGTTGATTTCCCTGTGGCTCATAGTGTTCTATCCTCAGGCTGGGAATTAGCACTTTCACTAGGACAACTACGTTAGCCCCACAAGCTAGAGTGAAAGGGCTTTTTCCGGTAGATTCTTTTTTAGTGGTTCTATTTCCCCATAACACCTCTAGGACAAAATCAGCCCATAAGCCTTTGTGCTCCTCCAGCTTTCTCTGCGGGGCTGTTAAGATCAGCTTGTTTGCCGCTTTGGCTTGGCCATTACTCTGTAGGGGACAGACTGAGGCACTTGCATACTTGGTGCCCATGTCCTCTAGGTAAGCCTTGATGGTGTCATAGTCGAATAGGCATCCGTGGTCAAAGACTATGCACTACGGCACCCTCAACCTTGTGATGATGTTTCTCCATACGAACATTCTCACTTGGGTTGCCTTTATGTATTTAGTGTGCTCGGCCTCTATCCAGTGGGTAAAATAGTCGATTGACACTATAAGGAACTTCCTACCCGCTAACCTAGTGGTGAAGGGTCCCAATATGTCCATTCCCCACTGAGCTAATGGGATCGGGCTGAGGATTGGGGTCAGATCATTTGCTGGCTGGTTTATGACTAAGGAATATTTTTGGCACTTGTCAGACTTTTTCACATATTCCAGTGCATCTTGCGTTAGAGTTGGCTAGTATGCACCCATTTTGAGAACGTCTAGTGTCTATCCACCGATGTGGTTGGAAAATTTTTTAGTGTGCCTTTTCCATGATTTTCTCCTGCTCCCACTCTAGGATACACCTTAGCAGTGGTTTTGAGAAGCCCTTCTTGTTGAGCTCCACATTCATCACCATGTACCAGTTAGCGTCTTTCGTCACTTTCTTAGCTTGCACTTCATGGTCCGTTAGTGAGCCATGAACTTTGTTTGCCATTATGTTTGTGAACCAAACTCGTTGCTGCCCGATAAAATTCACCATCTCCTTTTCAGCGATACTGCTTTCCTCTAGGACTTCCTTCATCACCGTCTTTGTGAGGCTCTACAAGGTAGAACTCGGTAACTTTGATTCCGCGTCAGCTTGGGAGTTTCCAGCTCTAGGGACTAAGTCTATCTGGATGTGGACTAGCTGAGCTTCCAGCTCCTTTCTCTTGGATACATACTTCAACATTGTGGATTCCCTATAATCATAATCCCCCTTAAGTTGATTGGCTAGAAGCTGAGAGTAAGTCTACAGATGGACTTTCTTGGCCTCGGCTGCGATACTCATACGCAGGCCTACCAAAGTTGCCTCGTACTCTACCTCGGTGTTTGATGCCTTGAATTTTAACTTAATGGCATGCTCAAATACATTTCCTTCTTGGGATGTCATTATGATCCCTGCTCCGCTCCTAGTTTGAGCTGATGATCCATCTACCTCCACCTTCAAGATTCCAACATCATCTTCTTTCTCCTCGTACGAGGCTTCCATGATGAAGTCTACTAGGGCTTGCGCTTTGATATCTGCCCTAGGTTTGACCTTGAACTCATACTCTGAGAGCTCAATGGCCCACTTCTAGAGTCTTCCTGACCCGTCCATATTTAGCAATGCTTTCTCTAGTGTGTGAATTGTGAGCATTTGTATTATGTGCACGTCAAACTATGGTTTCAACATCCATGCTGTAGTTACCACTGCAAAAGCCAACTTCTCCACCAATGGGTACCTTTGCTCGGCCTTAGTCAGCACGTGGCTCACAAAGTATATTGGTCTTTACTGCTTTTGTCTTTCTACCGGGAGAACAGTTGCAATTGTTTTAATTGACCCAGAAATGTAAAACTGTAATTTTTTATTCAGCTCCAGGCTGATTATTGTTGGGAGCTTAGTCAGATGCTCCTTAATGCCCTAAAAGGCTTATTTCTTCTGCGGCTCCCCACTTAAATTTCATGTTCCCTTTCAGCAGCTGGTAGAATGGTAAAGCTTTGTCGGCGGACTTACTGATGAACCTGGTCCGTATGACTATTCTGCATGTCAGCCGCATGATGTCCTTAATGCACTTAGGCTTGGGTAAGCTCAGGACTACTTAAACCTTCTCCGGATTTTCATTTATCCCTCTCTCGCTGATTAGGAAGTCTATGAATTTTCCCAAGCTTACCCCAAAGACACATTTCTTCGGGTTAAGATTGATGTTATAATTGTTTAAGGTGGAAAATGTTTCCTCCAAATCCATGATATGCCCTGCGTGTGTGACGCTCTTAACAATTGAGTCGTCCACGTATACCTCAACATTCTTACCCTTCTGGTGCATGAACACTCTATCCATTGTCTTCTGAAAAGTAGCTCCAGCATTCTTCAACCTCAAGGGCATAGCTATGTAATTATACACTCTCCCCTGTGTTGTGCAAACTGATTTTATGGTATCCTGAGAAGGCATCCATGAAGGTTAACAAGGCGTGCCCGCTGGTTGAATCTACCAGCTGATCGGTTTGCCGCAGCGGGTAACAGTCTTTTTGGAATGCTTTGTTCAGATCTGTGAAATCAACACACATCCTCCACTGGCCATTTTCCTTCTTTACCATGACCACGTTGGCTAGCAAATCCGGATAATCGCAGGGCACAATAAATTCGGCTTCCAAGAGTTTTTCCACTTCTTCCTAGATTGCCTGATTTTTCTTCATGGAGAAGCTTCTTTTCTTCTGCCTTAGTAGCTTAACATCTTCGTCAACATTCAGACTGTGGACTATGACTGCAAGATCAATTCCGGGCTTCTTATATGCAAAAAATGAAAAGATGTCTTTGTTCTTCCTCAACAATTCTATAAGGTGCACCCCCACTCCAGGATCAATGTCCTTTCCGATTTTTACTGTTCTTGAAGGATCACCTTCTATGAGCTCGATTGTAACATGCTTCCCGCTGGGAAGCGGTCTAGCCATCTCTTCCTTTGCGAGCTCAAAATTTTCCGTGGCCAGCTTTTGTTTATCCTTCTCTCTATGATGTTCTTCGCGCTTTCTTTTTCTTAATTTTTTTTCAACCTGTTCAACGGATCTATGCTCTAAAAGTGGTTGTTGTCTGTTCCTAGCAGGCTGCTTTAGGGCAGTTATGTTACATTGTTGAGCTGTTTTCAGGCTTCCCCTGAGCTTTGTTGACCGCCCTTTTTTGGTTGTATAAGTCATGGCAAGATGATAGGTGGAAACCACTCCGCCAATGTTGTGGATAAGTGGCCTCCCCATGATCACATTTTAAGGTGAAGGAGAGTCTATCACCAGGAACTCTGCTCGAATATCGCGTCTTTTTTATCAATATCGCGTCTATTTTATCTTTCTCCTACTCGGACAGATAGCTCGATTATACCTTGTGGGGTCAATCCAGATCCGTTAAACCCGGTGACTTCATAACTCACCCTTTTTAGGTCCATTTTGTTTAACTTCATATCTTTGAACGCGCTGATATATATGATGTAGGCTGAGCTCCCCCCATGTATCAATATTCGGTTTACCTCCCAGTTTGTAATTCTCATCGTTACTACCAGAGGATCATTATGAGGTTAGATTATGCCCTTCTGGTCATGCTCATCAAATGTAGCTTGCAGCTGCGGGGGAAGAGGTGGCCACTTGGGCTTCTCATTATGATATATAATGTATCATTGCCCGCAAGTCTGCCCGCGCCTTGTTCAGTGTTCCCCCATGCATCGGTCCTTCGATGATCACATACACCCTGCCTTTTACTTGCTGTCTCTCTCTCTATCCTCAGCGGGACCTCTGTGACCTCCTCTGCAGTTACGGGCTACTCTGTCCTATACTTTTCTTTTAGGGGGATCAGCTTGTTGTTTGAACTGGTTTAGATACCACCTTCTAACTAGGTATTCTATGTTATCTTTCAGATTTGTATATTCATCAGTTGTGTAGCTGTTGTCCCTATGGAAGTCACACCACTTGTTGGGATCATGGTTCCTATTAACCATCCTTGGAGGTCTCTGCCACTAGTCATCAACTTTGTTCATGCTGAAAATGTGGGATCTCGAGTGAGTGAGTGGGGTATACTGGTCGAACCTTCTAGGTCTTCCTCCCTTCTTCGGGTCTACCCTTCTCACCCAACACCTCGATCTGCCTCCCTACGACCTTGCTTAGCTTTGCTAGGTTGGTCAGCCCTGGTATTTTTTTTTGCCAGGGTGACTTCTGCCTGCTTAACTAGGTTGTTTAGCACCTTCTAGTTCAGCATTGCTCTTTCGGTCTTGTCTATCTTGATGAACTCGTGCCCTTTAGCTAGCGCTTCAGCTAGCGTCTTAAGGCTCTTACGCCCTATTTACACTCTGAATGGTGAGCCTTGTAGCAAACCGCTCTACATTTCCAGCAACGCTACCTCTTGGCTCATGTTTGGGATGGTTATTGCCTCGTTGAATCTGGTGATAAACTCCAACAAGGACTCATCTTTCCCCTGAACTAGTGATATCAAATAAGTCGTCATCTTAGTTCGATCTACCAAGGTGATAAAATGCTCCATAAACATCCTTTTCCGCTGATTATATGAGTACACGCAACCCTTAGGAATGGCTCTATGCCAATCTGCTGCCAGCCCCTTTAGAGTTGGCAGGAATGCTTTGAACCATACTGAGTCTGTATTGGTATAGAGCACCATGTTGTTCTCAAAAGCCGAGATATGATTCTTAAATGTGTGTAGTTCCGTTGTACCAACAGCTTGGCATCTTTATCTTGTCCATTAGTTCCACCAGAATCTCCCTATCCAAGCTCGGTCACCGCTCATAGGCTAGTGACCTGCTGTGGGCGACTTGTCTCTCCAGGCTGCCCTTAGCTTGGGTTATTTCCTTCACGCTCCATTCTCGGGTTTAGATTCTGAGCTTCTATCTCCAAAACGTTCTTCCTCAGTTGGACGAGCTTTTTCTACTTGGGAGTGAGAGTTGATGGTGTTACCTTCTTCACCTCTGGTTATGTAGCTGTTGCTATTAATGACGAGCTTGCTCCCTTACCAAATTAGCAAGGACTGATGTCATCGCTGTCAACTGCTTCTTACTACACTTAGAGAGGTTTGCAGAATGGCTGGCATGTTTACGGGCTACGGTTTTTGGGATATGGGTGCTGAAACAATGGGTTCATTATTTGCGCATGTCAATGGAATACCGTATTTGAAAATGGAACTAGATTCTACCTCATCGACTGTGTTCGACGTTGCTTTTGCTGCAACAGACGTCTATATAATGGGGTTGGATTTTTATGAGATAGTGGATTTGGGTTTCTCAGCGGATCCTTTGAGATCGATGGTTGCTGATACTATTTTTAATGGTGTTTGGTTGGCGTCATTGGCCTTGGGTATGGGTGTTGGCACAGCTTCCTTCCCG